TCAAGCAAAGGGGGTAGTCCAGCAAGCAGCTTTCTGACATTATTTAGGGGGGGCCCCTAGAATAATGTCTGATTTGCTTTACTCACCCTCTATTCCTTATTTACTTTTCCTAAGCTCTTTAGTTGTGAAGCTTTCCAAAAGTTTCCAAAAGTCAGTGCGCACTTTCTTTATAAAAACCCTTATTCAAAAGTATTGAAAAAACAAAAAAATCAATCAAGCAAAGGGGGTAGTCCAGCAAGCGGCTTTCTGACATTATTTAGGGGGGCCCCTAGAATAATGTCTAGAGATTTGAGGCTTTAAATGTGTATTCCTTTTCTTTGCCTTTTGATTTGCTTTACTCACCATCTATTCCTTATTTACTTTTCCTAAGCTCTTTAGTTGTGAAGCGTTCCAAAAGTTTCCAAAAGTCAGTGCGCACTTTCTTAATAGAATCCCTTATTCAAAAGTATTGAAAAACAAAAAAAAAGTTAGGTGTCTTAATTCCTTCTATTTTAATATTGCCAGAGTAGCTCCAGAGGTAGCTAGCTAAGGATTCCTTATTTAATTATCAATTGATTGATTTTCTTATATATTATTGGAGGCCTTGGTTGTTGACGGGGGGGGGGGAGTTTATAAATCAAGGGTCAACATTAGTAGCTTCTTGTTCCTAGTAGTATGGCCAGGAGCCCCTAGTAGCGACCTTGCTCCTAGTAGCCATGCCAGGAGCCCCTAGTAGCGTCTTGTTCCCAGTAATAAGGCCAGGAGCCCCTAGTAGCGTCCTTGCTCCGAGTAGCAAACTATACTACACCTTTCTTCATTGTCTTTTTTCCTTTTTTCTAATAGCAATGGCCTCCAACCTACTTGTGATGGCCTCCAACCTAATAGCAATAGCGCAAGCGCTCAGATATTATGGAGAGTCAAAGCTCGATCACATCGGAACTGAAGATCAGAGTCTCGATGTGTCACCCCAATCACAATCGATGTGCGTCGGGGCAAGGCCCGAAACAGGAGAGAGAGTGAAAAGCACCACAAGAACAACATGGACATTTCGGTGTGTTTGTGTGTACAACCCATCGCTACTAGCAGCAAGGTCGCTACTAGGGGCGTGTGTACAACCCACCTTCGTCCGAACGTCGAACGTCGAACGGGACAGCTGAACGTCGATTGGCTGAGGAACGCGACAGCTTTCCATCTTGCTTTTCACAGGCATGACCACCTTGGCCAACGCCACTGGGCAGAAGTTGGAACTTCTTAGTAACAAGTGCATCGCTACTTTTAATACTAGGAGCAAGAAGCTACTAGTTACTAGGAACAAGGGCATCGCTACTAGTAACCCTTGTTACTAGCAGCGATGCCCTTTGACACTGCCGTTTGTCCCGACACATGAATCGGGATGGTTGATTTGTAGGGCATCAAACCATGCAAAGCGTCAACATCTCTGCAGTCCAAGAAGCAACTCAATGTCACCCTGTCCACATCAGCCATTGGCTGGCCATTGAGTAGTGCTTGTCTCGTGCTTGTCTCGTATGAACACAGGACGACAGGACCTGTAAAACGCGCACGAAAGACACCAGCGGTCTCCGAGGAGCTTTTGGTGAAGCCGCCGGGGGCCAGAGCTGTGGAGACACCAGCTGTGCGGATCAGTTTGTGGAATCAACCGCTCCCTTACCCATCAAAAAATAAGCTGTGTTGCAGTCTAGCAGTGCGATTTTGATAAGGGCGACAACGACCTGAGATTCCTGGCAAAGGGGATAGCGTTCCTGGCAACCAGTTCCTGGTCTTGGCTGTGTGGCAAAAAGCGCCTGTGATTCCAGAAGTGCAGAACGACACAAAAATACGGAAACCCAAAAGGACCGCTTCAAAATGATTAAGTTAAAAAACGGAAAGCCGGATCCCACACATACTAACCAGTATGTTGGAAGAAAAACATACTGTATGTTTTTCTTCGAACACATCTTAAAGTTGGATATCTATTGGAGTTCCCTCCGAGGTTTTGCGCCTTGCCACGCCCTGGAGCCCTTGGCCCTGCTGGGGCTTCCGAGAGACCGGAGGTCCTTGTTCTTCGGACAGGGGCGCAGGGCGACACTGGCCTTTGGGCCATCCTTTCGAGGTGAAGTTGGGCGCAGGGACAGAATGGTCTAAAGGACGCTACTAGGGGCTCCTGGCCTTACTACTAGGAGCAAGAAGCTACTAGTAGCTCCTGGCAAAGGAAAAAAGAGAGGTCTCAAATGGCCTAAATTGGTCTAAGGAAGACGAAGAATATAAAAATAGAAAAGGATAATGTTCTCATCCTCGCTATTCGGTTGGAGGCCATGGCGGCAAGACGTGTCCCGCCTTAAGGCTCCTGGAGTTTTGACCAACTCCTTGGGCGAACATGCCGGCAGCTGCAACACCTCCTGAAACGCTGGCTCGTTTTTGTCCAAGACATCAGCGCTCACTGCTTCAAAGAAGCACTTCCTTCAGGTTCTTGAGTGATGACTATTGGATTTGAAAAACTCTCGTTGTTTTTTCCCACCTGTCAGGTGAGGGTTGTTAGATTTATGTCAGCTGCCGTCCCCGTCCTCGTCCTCCTCGTCCTCCTGCTCCTCCGCCTCCTCCGCCGCGAGCTCCCGCTGGCAGTGTTCCCCGCCGGACCTCAACCGCGAGTCAGAAGATATGCCAGATAGAATGTCAGAAAGAATGTGATATGCCAGAAAGCATGTCAGAAGGTATGCCAGAAATAATGCCGAAATAATGTTTCAATACATGACATAAATTTTGTCAAATTGAAATGTCATGGTGGGGCTCACTCGAAGTAAAGTAATTTCAACAGAATCGGTGACCAATGCAGGGTCGAGCATTGAAAGTTGCAACTTCTGTCTTTGTATGTAAAAATACAACAATGCACCAGTAGAAGTTGTATTGGCTTGAACTTCAGAGGATGCCATGTTCATCATCTTCTGGTATCCGTTCAGGTGGGATGCCCTCCTCACATTCCACCATGGCCATAGGCCAAGCTTGCGCCCTCCCGTTGTGTCAGAAGTTGTGTTGGAAGTGTTCCTCACAATTTCGCCCTTGGAGCACCCTCCTACAGTCCTTTTGATTGGCACACGTTGAACGCTTGCCAGCATCCATTCTGTTGCGTGAGATGCCCATGGTGACAATTCTCTTGTCAGGCTTTCTTATGCTGACCATGTTTGATGGCATCATTCGAGTGAAGCCCGACACCTTTTTGCTCTCACAGGCCGGCAGAGTTCAACTGAAAGCAGATGTTCCTAATAGCGTCCTTGCTCCTAGTAGCGATGCCAGGAGCCCCTAGTTGCTTCTTGTTCCTAGTAGTAAGGCCAGGAGCCCCTAGTAGCGTCCTAAACCATGCGTCCTTTTCTCGCTTGGCTGTAGGGTTCAGCTTGTGAGTGCCTTGTGCCTTGTACGTGAGAAGTGGAGACCATCCTGCTTTGCGCGCGGACCGCCTCTTCGCGGGACATCACAAGTCTAAGTCTTCCTTCGTTTGTGTTTTTTCTCGAAGCAAGCAAGAGTGCTTCGTTTGTGTTCTTTCTCTTTCAGCGTCCTTTGTTCTTTTTTTGGTCTTTGTCTTTGTCTTGGTTTTTGTCCGGTCACCCACCGCTTGGACAGGAAGAGGTCGAAATGCAACAAACGCTCAGGGAGATGATCTCGGCCAAAGCCTCGGTAAAATGAAATCCGTTGGGATCGGTGAAGCAAAAGAGAGAAGGCTCGAAAGAGGGTCTAAACGGCCAGGAGCCCCTGTTCGTAGCGTTGATCCAAACAGTGCAAAAAGCATCACGAAGACCAAAAGAAACCAAGCTTTCTTGACGAGATCCAAACAGCAGTGACAAAAAGCTCAGGTCACGCCACTAGCACCCAAGCGAGTGTTGCACCTAGATCAGACAGAAGTGCTAGATGAGATGCGAGCCATGAGATCTCCGATCTTTATCGAGAACGTTCTCTGTTTTCTTCTGTAGACCTTTGGACCATTTTAGAATCTTTTAGACCCTTGGTTGGTATGTCTTTTCTTCTCATCAGGGCACTGTGCGTGGCAGTGCAGTTCAGACTTCAGATACTATTCTATGCGAAAAAGGGTTCGTTGCACTTCCTTGTAGGTCTGTCCTGTCCTTATTGTCGCCCAGAATCCGAAGGTGATGGGCAACACGGAGTTCTTGGGCTTCTTCTTCACCTGGATGATTCTGCTGGGCCCGGTTTGAGCCCAAAACGTACCCGGACCATACCATCCGTACCCAGATCTTCTCACAAAGATCCAACCATCGCTAGTAGGTTGGAGGCGCTATTAGGTTGAAGACTTCTTAGAGGCAAAGGATGCCTATAAGGAGTAAAAGTGAGTACTCCAAAGTGAAAGAAGATCTCGCCGGGAGTGTCTCCACTGAGCGAACTCGTGGAAAGAGTTCCACGCTAATCACTGGATAGCCACCGTCACCGTGACGGGAGTCACCGTCGCCTCGCTTCTTTTGACACTTGCTCATCATACCACGACACCTCTCTTAATCAGCATTCTACGAATCATCAACGGACATGTGAACTTCCCCATTACAAAGCTGGCATCCCTCAAACCTGAGTGCCCTGTGTCAAACCGTTTCAGATGCTTTTTGCTTTTGCCCTAGTGCTTGGGGCCTCATTTGCTCCCAAAGCTTAAACACTTGCTCTTAGGTTGGAGGCCATCACTACTAGGTTGGAGGCCATCGCTCTTAGGTTGGAGGCCATTGCTATTAGGTAGGATTGATTTCTTTTCTTTCTCATCCGTTGTGGACGTTCGATTGCCTCAGGTCCCAATGATGCGAGTAGTTCTTCGAGATCACACGGTCCAGTGCCCGAGTGACACCCCCGCAGACTCTCAACGGGTTGGTAGTTTGGAGTAAATGCCTCAAAGGTTACTACTAGTAAGGCACTTGCTACTACTAGCGATGCACTTGTTACTACTAGCTTCTTGTTACTACTAGTAAGGCACCTGTTACTACTAGTAAGGCACTTGTTACTACCAGTAAATGCCTCAAGTGCCCAAGATGTTGCTTGTGTGATTGTGTTGGGAGGAAGGTGTTTTTTGTGAGAGTGCACATGCGGTGTTTGCAAGAACCTTGGTGTCAGTTGCCAGTTGAAAAATTGAATCCACATGAGAGTCTGTTTGTCAACCGACAAATTTTCCAACAGGCAGTTCAAGTCTGTGTGGGAGGCTTGCGCCATGCTCAGACAGCGTGAACTATTTTGGAAGTAAAAACAAACACTACTGCTGAGCGTTGTTCCTCTTTCAACAGGAAAGGAAGACAGAGAGAAAGGAAGAAAGGAAGGAAGAACATGAAGGAAAGGAAGAAAATGAGGAAACAGAAGAACAAAGGTCAAACAGAGAACAAAAAGAGAAGGGAAAAGAAAAGGAGCAACGAAAGAAGACGAAGAAAGGATGCACTGTGAACTTTGAGGCTCGGAGCCGCTCGGGAGCTCGGAGAAAGCTCCGAGAAAGCTCTTTTTTGGAACAGCTGTTCGGGGCCTCTTTCGTGTCCCGTCATGTGCTCCGTTCGTAGCGTCCTTGCTCCGTTCGTAGCAATGCCAGGAGCCCCGTTCGTCGCTTCCATTCTACCCGTATATGTCAATAAGAAGCGAAATGTGTAGCAAGTGTATCGCCAGTAGTAACAAGTGCATCGCTAGTAGTATCAAGGGCGCTGCAAGTATACTAGCGATACCTTAAATTCTGCATTTGTATTTGCTTATCCTTTCCTGTTGTTTTCGTTTCATCATCTTGAAGAAAAGGAACGCGGACATGTTTGTCGGTGCTGTGCTGTACCCAACGGGACAATCTGCAAATGGTGGTGATGATTGCAAGGTGAGGTTTGGGGAAAGTATTGGGTCTGAAGGTTTTGCAGGATTCATCCAGTTGCTGTTGTCCTTGTCCTTGCTGCCATCTTCCAAATTGCAAAATACGTGATTAGACAATATGGTGTTTTTGAAAGAAAATAGGTGGAGCATGTCACTGACACTTTGGCAAGGTGTTTTGGGCATGCAGAGATGTCTTAAACGAGTTAGACTTGTTATTCAACAGCCGTGCCAAGCTAACGGAGCTACAAGGGGCTCCTGGCATCGCTACTAGGAGCATTCTTACTAGGAGCAAGGACGCTACGAACGGGGCTCCTTTTGTGACACCGAACGGTCCTGTGATGTGTTCGGAGTGCTCGTGTTTGAATGCACACGGTGTGCTGGCCACGAGCACGTCAGGTCTATGCACTGCTGTGGTTTCGCTTCACGAACCTTGGCAGAAGAACTGAGTTTTCAGACTGTTTATGACACAGCGGCGTGGTTGATGTTCCATGTGAGGATTTGCATGATCAACCGCTACAAGAATAAGTCTCCATCTCAGACCATGTTGAGGGCTAGTGTGACCGGCTGTGAGTCAGCAGAATCCATCTCACTCCATTACAAAAATCATCTTTCATCCATCTTAGGAATTTGTAGTTGATGGGATCCCTTATTGTTCTCTTCTTTGTTCAGCTCATCCCTAAGGACGTCGTAGACCCGAACTTCTCTTCTTTGTGTCCTTCTCGTTGCTTCTCGTGCCAGGGTGGGTCAAAAGTTCTGTTTTGGCCGGGTTCTTCAGACACGAGACGTCGAAAGAACAGTCCACGGAGGAGTCTCCAAACCATGCATATCCACATGGGAGTAGTCAATCACGACCTTTTTCAAAAGAAACGAAGAAAACAAAAACGGAAGAAAAAGAACAAGAAAGGCTGAAGTGGTGATTTGCCCGAACTTGGAAGGGTATCGTGGCTTGCCCTCCCCAGGCATGCTACAGCACAACTACGCTCCAGTGGCCATGCGCGTTTTCGTGCGCTGCCCCAGATTGGCCGATCCGTCTAGCCGCTAGCCTGAAGAAGCTGGTGATGACTGCCAGAAACATGGCGACTCAACAGACCTGTCCCGAAGATTAGCAATCCCAAGCGGTCGGTCCCCCCAACATGATTCAATTGAGCATCTCTACTTCCGACTTACGACCAATCCTTGTGGCTAAAAGCAGAGGTTCCAAACAGCACCAGGCAGAATCAGCTGCATTCGCGGAAGAATGGGAAGAACGAGGTAGTAACAGGTGCCACGCTAGTAGTAACAGGTGCCTTACTAGCATTAACAAAGAAGCTAGTAGTAACAAGTGCATCGCTAGTAGTAACAAGTGCCTTACTAGTAGTAACAAAGAAGCTATTAGAATTTACTTTAAATTAATCATGTGGAATGGACCAACCAGTTGAAATGTGAGGCGGGGTGAGGGGCCACAGTATGCCACAGTGAGGCGATAGATGCTTGGAATAGTAAGGCAAGCCCCTAGTAGCGTCTTTGCTTCTGCGCGATGCCAGGAGCCCCTAGTAGCTTCTTGTTACTAGTTGATACGACCCCCACTTATTTGGAGCCTTCTTAACGGAGCACTGGACGTTTTCCACTTGTTTTTGTCCACTGAAGCAACTGAAGGCGAGACCTAGCGGCGACAAGGACTGGCAGCAGTTGCAGGCGCTTTCGGACAGGAAAAAGGCCGAGATCGTCCCGAGAGGTTTATACTTTGTTCAGATGTTTTTCTAAAATTAATCAGACCCTTAAGATGTTCTTCCTTTCCTTTCTTTGTTTCTGCTAGCGGTGGCCTCCAACCTACTTGCGATGGCCTCCAACCTAACAACAAACCATATTAGACTCCTTTCAAGCCCGCTTCTACTTAGTGAAGTAATTACTAGCAAGAGGAAGCTTCTGGTAACTGGACGCAGGATAGCACTAATGATTTGGTTCCTAGATGTTTAGGGGATGTGTGTTTAGGTTCTACCGGCGTCCACCCGCATTTGTTTCTGTTCTGGGTGTGGTGCCGGGTACAGTGATGCCTGCGGCCATTTTTTGGTACTGCCAAGAGTGGTTGTTTTCCTTAGATCACCATTCATGATCGTTCATGTGAAAACCCAGAGAGAAACATTCACACTCCCAATCTCCCCACCATTAGCTATTAGTAACAAGTGCCACGCTATTAGTAACAAGTGCCTTACTAGTAGTAACAAGAAGCTATTAGAAACAAGTGCCTTACTAGTAGTAACAATAAGACTTTAATTAGAATTGCAATTTACTTTAATTTTCGAGTCGCCCGATCTGCCCAGTGGGACGCCAAGATCGAAGCTGAAGAAGTCACGACCTCAGAAAACCCGTTCAACGGAAAGAGTGTCAGCACTGCGTCAAGCAGGTTCTTTCATAAAGAAAAGGAAAATGAAGCTATTAGAAACAATGTTCGCTACTAGGAACAAGTGCATCGCTTCTAGTAACAAGTGCCTTACTAGTAGTAACAATGTTCGCTACTAGGAACAAGTGCATCGCCTCTAGTAACAAGTGCCTTACTAGTAGTAAGAAGGACGCTAGTAGAAACAATGTTCGCTACTAGGAACAAGTGCAACGCTAGTAGTAACAGGTGCCTTGCTAGTAGTAACAATGTTCGCTACTAGGAACAAGTGCATCGCTTCTAGTAACAAGTGCCTTACTAGTAGTAAGAAGGACGCTAGTAGAAACAATGTTCGCTACTAGGAACAAGTGCATCGCTTCTAGTAACAAGTGCCTTACTAGTAGTAACAAGGACACTAGTAGAAACAATGTTCGCTACTAGGAACAAGTGCAACGCTTCTAGTAACAAGTGCCTTACTAGTAGTAACAAGAAGCTATTAGAAAGGTCTAAAGGTCTAAGGTCCTTAGAGCCTGCAAAACGATCCTGAGAGAACGACTGCAAACTGGAAGATGGAGATGGAGAACGACAACAAAACACCACGCCGATATACAAACTGGAAATGATCCCAGTCGTTTATATGAGACATCTAAATATAGTGTTTTAATAATTGTGCTGCTTAGCACTATGTTCGGAGTTCACCACCTGTTTTTGCATGAGGTACCCAAAGAGTGAACCTGTTTGTTTGTTCAACGTTTGTTCACTTGTGCCATGATTGAACTGGGACAACCGGTGTCCTTCTCCAGTTCTGAGGCTCCGGCCAGTTCGGAGGACTCCACCAAGCCAAGAAGAAGTCGTGACAAGCGGAGTTTTGGGGGGTTGGAATTCATTGCGTTGGATGATTTGGTCTTACAGGAACCATTGTTACTACTAACAAGTGCCACGCTAGTAGTAACAGGTGCCTTACTAGTAGTAACGCGTTTTCGATTGGATACAGCAGATACACACCAGATGCGATGAGGTGGGATGCTTAGGGAACTTGAGATGGGTGAGCTTGATGAGTGATACCAATCCATCACAATGCGGATGCGAGCAGGTTTGCTATCGGAGAAACCATAGATTCAATTCGAGATGTTGGTTGTTTTGCATTTCTTACGGTGGTACACTGCGAGTACATTTGCTTCAGAAGTTTCTTGGCGTTTCTTGCAGATGCGAATCCGGATTTATAGATACTCCTCGTCAGGAAGCGGAAGCAAGTGATGATTGAGCTGCCCTGACGTCAGACGTTGGCAGTTAGGCGATAGTGATGGTGGAGGATCCCAAGATTCTCAGGGACGAAGTTGAAATCTACTTTGATTTGCAGATGCTTGTGGTCCACTTGTGGTCTTTTCCTGGAGCCAGAAAACTGTTCTCCATCCAAGTGCATCGCTACTAGGAGCAAAAGACGCTACTAGAAACAAGTGCATCGCTAGTAGTAACAAGTGCCTTACTAGTAGTAACAAGAAGCTATTAGGAATAAGTGCATCGCTACTAGGAGCAAAACTGTTCTCCATCCAAGTCGGATCCCATGTATTTTCACTAAAAGAACGAGTGGACGTTCACGTCCGAGCTCGGGCGTACAAACGCCCTGGTGAAACCTTTGTGGCTCCAGGTACCTTGCGTACCATAGGTCAGGAACAAGTAGCGTCTTTTGCTCCTAGTAGCGATGCACTTGTTACTACTAGCGATGCACTTGTTACTACTAGCGGATACAGTCCATATACGTCCCAACGTCAGAACGTCAGGATCAGACCCCCCCCTCACTCAGAACCTCGGGGCGCGTTTCAGAGCTAATGATTGCCACGTAGAAAAGCTGAGAAAAGCCGACTGGACCGACTGGACCGACGGACTGCTTTCATTGGGAGAAGAGTGGCGAGTGGCATTGAACATAATAAGCTACTAGGAACAAGTGCATCGCTACTAGTAACAAAGGGCATCGCTACTAGGAACAATAAGCTACTAGGGGCTCCTGGCCTTGCTAGTAGGAACAATAAGTTACTTCGATTCATGGATCTAAGGAACTGCAGGTGTTCCTAGTAGCGTTCTTGCTCCTAGTAGTATGGCCAGGAGCCCCTAGCGTCCTTGCTCCTAGTAGCGATGCCCTTTGTTACTAGTAGCTTATTGTTCCTACTAGCGTCCTTGTTACTACTAGTAAGGCACTTGTTACTAGAAGCGATGCACATGTTCCTAGTAAATGCGAACTGTTCTCCCCATTCATGTCCAATTCGGAGTGTTTGTCCGGATAGGGTATTTCATACTGTGAGGTGCACGGAAGGACCGCGTTCATGTTGACAACTGCGCCCAGGCAGCAAAGTAAAACGAGTTATTTGAGCAACTAAACTTGAGTAGCGATGGCCTTCACCCAGTCCTTAGCGACGGCCTCCACCAAACTTGAAAGGATAGTCACACGAGAGGCATTGCCTTCTGCTCCTAGTAGCGTCCTCTACCCCCCCCGCGCGCGAGCTCCTAGTAGCGTCCTTGTTCCTAGTAGCGATGCCCTGGGTTACTAGTAGCGTCCTTGCTCCAAGGGCCAGGTTCTCTGAAAGGAGTGGTCCATGGCTGTTGGAAGTTCCGAGCTTGCAGTGCTTTGCTCGTGAAAAGCCAAGCACAGAGCCAAGCAACTGGGATGTAGTATGCGTATTCTCAAGTAACTCTTTGATCGATCCCTTTTTTTGAAGGAAGGAAGGAAGGAAGGCCTAAGGGCCTAAAGTAACGAAAGAAGGACAATGGTAGGTCTAATTGTATACATTCCTGTAAAGTCCTGTAGTATGATAGAAGCGCTTGTGGGTCAGAAGTCCGCTGCTTGCCGAGGCGTTGTTTTCACTTCAAAGAAGCGAATCGGACGGCGCCAACCAAGTGCCAAAGGCGCTCGGTCAAAGGTGCTCCACGGCCAAAGTGCTGTGGAGGAGGCGAGTTTGCATCCTGTTTTGGTTGCCATGCGACATGCCGCCCTTGTCCTGGTCGCAATAGCCTTTTTGAGTGTGCACAGTCAGCGCTTGTACCACACGGATGGTGCTTGGGCTGCTTTGATCGATGGAGCTGTGACCACCTGGGGTGACCCAGAGCGTGGTGGTGTTTCGCTTGGCGACACCGGTGTCCTCGACGACGTGGTCGACCTCGTCGCGACGTCTAGTGCCTTCGTCGCCTTGAAGAGCGATGGATCACTCGTGTCCTGGGGCCGTGCCGACGAAGGAGGCACCGTGCCGAACAGAGGAGACGGTCCGACACCAGCCGACACCGAAGAGAGTGTGGTGAAGGTGGTGGCCTCCGCCCACGCGCTGTGTGCCTTGCAGGCGGATGGATGCGTGATCTTCTGGGGGCGTTTTGGAGAAGTCTCTGCGGATGCAGTTTGGAAGAACTCTTCACAAAGTTGTGGAGTTCGTGACATTTTTGCTTCCACCGAAGCCTTTGCTGTGTTGAAATACGATGGTGCTGTGATCACCTGGGACGAAGAAGGTGAGCACCTACAGCACGTGGCTGTCTCACCTGACAGCGAAGGTCTTGGGGAAGCCCCTTCCGTGTCGAATCCGGTCATTGACATGGTTGGAGGCTTTCATTCCTTTGCGGCCCTGAAAAGTGATGGAACCGTGATAACGTTCGGGCACCAAGAGTACGGTGGAGATTCGAGCTCTGTACAAAAAGATCTGAGGGATGTGTTGAGGATTGAGGATCGGGGGATCTTTCATCGTGGCTTTGTTGCATGGAAGGCCAATTCCACGGCTGTGATTTGGGGACACGAAAAGTCAGGGGTCCCGCTGTCTTCCCAAGTCATCACTGGCGTGCGACAAGTGGAACTGATGCTCAGGCTTCACATGTATATAATATAGGCCTTTTTCTTTTTGAAGCCCGCCCGCCCTTGCTTAGTTTAAGTAGGCGCTTACTTAATTGCCTAATTCAGTGGATGTTCTTAGCTAGGACGCAGGATAGCTCACGCTTCTTCAAGGAAGCTACCCCGCCTGAGGGCCGGGGAGGAGCTTCCTTGAAGAAGCGCTCGCATTCCAGGAAATTTAACAAATGATAGCTCAGGCTTGAATTGTTGACTTTCTGGATTTGCTAGTTGTTTCTGATATATCTCCCATGTCTTCCATCAGGTCTCGTCTTGTTTGTATGTCATCTTCTGATTCTCCGTTTGATCTTTCTCCAAGGAGGCACTGGGCCGGTGCAGTCTTAAAGACTGACGGCACGGCCTTCGCCTTTGGCAACGCACTCTGGGCCTTCGGCGACGTGGGCGAGGCCCAAGGACGCTTGCAAAATCTACGGCAGATCCTTTGCCCCAGATACGCCTGTGCAGCACTGCGAGAGGACGGCTCAGTGGCCGCTCCACTTGGAAAATCGAACCAAGGGGTCGTTGGTCGTTGTTCGATGTGTCAAAAGCTTCATCCATGTTGGTATATCCGCAAATATCGTTATATGTGTTTTTTCGATGGTGTCTTGGTTCACCTAGTAGATTCCTCTGCTAGTAATTACAAGTGCCTCGCTAGTAGTAACAAGTGCCTTACTAGTAGTAACAAGGACGCTAGTAGGAACAATAAGCTACTAGTAACACAGGGCATCGCTACTAGGAACAAGAAGCTACTAGGGGCTCCTGGCCTTACTAGTAGGAATAAGAAGCTATTAATTAGAAAGTTTTTTGGCCGTTCGTCCACCCAGGTGACTTGGGGCCAAAAGGCCTTTGGTGGGTCTGGTGGACCTGGTGTGCAGAACGTCTCGGAGCTCTTTGGCACCCCGTATTCCTTTGTGGCGCTTCTTCGCGATCCAAGGCACGGATCTTCCTCGGAAGGCCTTCATGCGATCGCTTGGGGTCACAGTCACTATGGTGGAGATCTCAACTTTCCAGAGCGACTGCCGCGAGCGCTGCACAATGTCAAGACCATCCACAGCCATTGTGATGGCCTCAACAATGGTGTTTTCATTGCAGAACGCAATGACCATGATGGACTGCAATTCCAAGCTTGGGGAGATCCCAGGTATGGTGCTTCATTGCCATCGTTCAACACCGCCACCAGTCGACTCCTCTTTGGGCCGCCGAATTTCACCAGTACCACCCGAAGTCGCAGCAGCACCACCCGAAGTCGCAGCAGTACCACCCGAACTAGTCGGTCATCCACAACCACCACGAGTAGCGCAACCACCACCACTGCCACCACCACCACTGCCACCACCACCACTTCCACCACCGCTACTGCAACCACCAATACTGCAACTACAACAACATTAACCACGGGCACTGGGACGTCAACAACCACTAGTATCTTGACGCCTACGATGGTGTTCTGTGGAGGGGACCGGTGAGTGAAGATACAATAAAGATCCTCTGTGGGGTTCTATGGGTCATGCAGTGACTCATGCCAAGACTAGGTGAACATGCTCCCATAAGAACCCCCAGTCTCGGATGGCAAGAGCAATTGGCATTGCAAGGATTGCTTAGTGAATCTGATTGATTTCCGCCCAAAAAAAGGAAGTGCCATTGATTTGAAGTGCCACAACCGTTCGGCTTCACACGAAGATCAAGAGCCCTTCGTTTGCTTCGGAACGATGGTACTGCCATGTGACGCCCAAGGTACTGCCACGGCATCCACCGTGCGAGACTGAGATGTGTCCGAAAGAAGCACTGAAACTCGGTATGGAGGGAGACCGTCGCGCTTCTAATAGCAAAGAAAAGGAAGAAAGGTCTAATATGGGAGAAAGTGTCCCTAAAAATCTAGGAACCAATTCTTCAATTGCTTGAAGAACCGTGAGCTATCCTGCATCCTAAGTACTAGCATACTAGTAGCTATGCGGGTTCAAAAGCAAGAAGCTACTAGTAACAAGAGCATTACAACTAGTAGCAAGAATTCCACCAGTAGCTCCTGGCATTACGACTAGTAACAAGAAGCTACTAGAAGCGATGCCCTTGGTTACTAGTAGCTTCTTGCTCCTAGTAGTAATGGCAGGAGCTACTAGTAGCGTCCTTGCTACTAGTAGCGATGCCCTTTGTTCTTAGTAGCGGTCTACCCTGCCTGGGCGCGTCTTCGCCCGAGATCACGTCGCAGGTGACGCTGACCAGCAGCACTGCCACGACCCTGACGCAGACGAGTAGCACTTCGAGCACCGTGACCGTGACCACCAGCACTGCTGGATGTCCCAGTTCAGAAGGAAAAAACATCACAGAAGCAGATGGATCAGCAAGTGATGCAACTTTAATGAGTAACAGGAGTGAAACAAGACAATCTCAGAAGATCTACACTTGCGATAAAGAAAAGGATAGATTGCGTCAAAAATGGCCACCATCACCTGCGCTCTTGGCCGTTCTTGCCGCGTTCACCGTGTCTTAGGAATCTACCGTCACTGTCACGACGACCAGTGCCGGCAAGCTCAGAAAATTGATCTCTGGGAAGGGTTCATCAAAGGATTTCAGTCACCAATGGATGGAGGTGAGAAATGAAAGGGTGGTTTACAATGTCAGAGGAAAGAGCGTGGCGTGTTTTTTTCCATGTTACTTGTGTCTTTCTTCCTTGTATTTTTTTCTGTTTGTTTTGTTATACTTCTTTGACCACAACGTTTTGCAGCCTTCGGGCTTTTTCAGCTCCAGATGTCAAAAAGCTTCCTCTCAAGAAGCTTTCTCTCTTCCATGTCCTTTTGCGGCCTAGTAGCTGCAGCATTTAGCCACAGGAAGACCCGAACAAAACACGAGGCCACTTAGAAGATCTAAGTTCCTCAGGTGACGACCACGAGTTCAACCAGTAGCTCAGCCTGGGCCACAGGCTGCAGGACACTGCGTGGGTTGTTTTTTAATTGTTCGAGGTGGCGTCCTTTGCTTCTTGAAATGTTCGAGGTGATGTCCCCAAAATCATACCTTTGATGTCTCTAGTCTCTAGTTATATTGATTCGGGTCGATATGTTAAATGAAGAGCCTCTTTCTGATGGTGAGGAGCTTAGAATATTCTCCGGATGCTTATTGTGAGCGATGTAACATGGTACACCTTAACCGACCCTAAGTTTCTACAACCCAGAATGCTGTTGACCATCAACTGAGCCGCCCAAATGCGGCGAATTCGAGTCAGAGCCCTGGAGCCAGAAGGATCGTAGAAGAGCCATCCCCAGTGAGGTGGATTTCAGGATCGGCATGATGTGGCGTGTATATAAAGCCATGATTGGCACGATGTACGAACGCCGGCATTGATTACAAGGTGACAACCACGAGCACAACAGTGGGAGGCCTCAGAGACACCTCAAAGACACCTTACTGTCTTCCCTTTCTTCTTGAGGGCAAAACTCTGTGTATCTCGATCGAAAGAAAGGAAGAAAGAAGGCACAAAGCAAAATAAAGGAAAACAACAAGAAACAAACAAGTTGTTTCAAACAAGAGGAAGATTCAAAAGAATTTCATTAAGCCTTTGCAGCTCACAGTTCGAAGCGCCAAGGCAACAACGAGCAGTTCCACCAGCAGCTCTGTAGGGCTCAAAGAGGGCTCACTTTGAGGGCTCAAAGAGAGAAAGAGATTTGAGTCAATGTTATTTTTTTTAAAGCAAAAACAAAGGAAGAAAGGTCTGAAAGCGAAGGCCTCCAACCTACTAGCAAACCATAGTAGACTCTTTTGGAGTATGAATACATTGGATCAAAGAGAGAGAGAGAGAGAGAGACAGAAATCGATTCGGGAGATGTCAAAACGACCAAGTGACCAGAAGACAGAACCTTTTTCCTGCCAGACGCATCGCAAAAGTCACGAGCGCCATTTTTAGGTGACAACGACCAGCTCTACTAGCAGCTCAGTGCGGAAGCTCAGTGCGGATCATGTCACAGTCGCACAGTCGGCTGCTTGAAGCAAGGAGGAGTCACAGAGTTCCTGCATAAGGTCACAACCACCAGTACTTCTGCGGGGAAGCTCAGGACACAGATGGATAATATGGATGTGCATCCGCCGTGTAGCATATGATGATATGTGTTGCATGGCATATTGTCAGGTAATTATTGCCTACGATATTTGTCATCCAGCGATCGTGGCACAACGGGATGCCCTTCACAGCTTCGGTTTTGCTTCGGCTCATTGACATTGTGCTGAAACTAACGTGAGCATAGCTGAGGGTTGTCAGAGTCTACACTCAGAAAACTTTCTGGAAGGTCACAACTTCCAGCTCAACCAGCAGCTCAGTGTGAGAACTCAGCCATGTGTGTTTCTTCGGGTGATGGCTATCTCCCGTCGAGGACATAGAATGTCAGCTTGCTGCAAGTGCCGGTGGAACTTTGGCAAACCACCAAAACGGAGCAAAAGCTTCCGACTTTGTTTGTAACTGCAAGGTCACGACAAGCAGTACTAGTGCAGGGAAACTCAGAACAGACGGGAGCAAATAGGCCTGAGTGCCAGAGCAGTTAGGGTCCGACTTGATTTGGCTGTGGAAAAGTCTTGCCTTTGATGACGTCCTTAGATGCCACAAATGGGCACTGAAACTCGTTTCTAATAGCTTTTTTGTTACTACAAGTAAGGCACCTGTTACTACTAGCGTGGCACTTGTTTCTAATAGCTTCTTGTTACTACTATTGATGCATTGAAACTCTATTGATGCGTTTTCGCCAACCGAGTTGGAGTTCGAAGCATCCGAATGCTGAGGTGACGACCTCAAGCTCTACTAGCAGCTCAGTGTGGAAGCTTAGCGTAACGAGGCTTCGCCCTCGTACGGATCAGTCCAGAAGAAAAAAGAGCTCTCAGTTGGAGGCCGTTGCTACTGGAAACAAAGAAAAGGAATAAATGTCTAATATAGTTTGCTATTAACAAAAAGCTCTCGGTTCTGCACGCTACTGCTGCAGCTTGGAGGTCTCCAGGCAGATCGAAGTTGCATGTACATTAATGCCCTGTACACTCGGCAGACCATTGCAACCAAACCAATACTGGTGAACAATGACCCAGGGTGCGCCTGGGGCACCAAAAATGCTAGGCTTTTTACCCACACCCATTTGCGCATTACTAGTAACAAGAAGCTACTAGTAGCGCCTGGAACTACTACTAGGAACAAGAAGCTACTTAGTGTTTCATTGATCCATATTGAGCCTTAGCGTGCTGCCATCAAGCAGTCTTCAATCTAAACGGGCCCTCATTGCTAGCGATGCCCTTTGCTCCTAGTAGCTTTTAGCTACTAGTAGCTTCTTGTTACTAGTAGTAAGGCCAGGAGCCCCTAGTAGCGTCCTTTGCTCCCCTCCTCCCTACTTAACACTTTGATCAATCAAGTTCTCCACCACACCCAGCCCTTGCCTTCCTTCAATTTCACAAGCTGTATGTGCACCAACATGTTGGGAGAGGGGATTGTGTCAACTCTTTCTAGTAACAAGAAGCTACTAGTAGCTCCTGGCATTACTACTAGGAACAAGAAGCTACTAGGAACAAGAGCATCGCTACTAGGAACAAGAAGATAGGGGATTGTGTCCAAGAATTGAATTTGCATACAGTGCACTCTAAGCACACCCCAACCCGCGGAAATCAAGTATATCCTCGACCTTTCTCCTACTTAATTAAGTAAGGGAGTAAGCTACTAGCTACTTAAGCTACTACATATGGACGCAGGATAGCTGGCGCTTCTGCAAGGAAGTTCCTCTCACCTGAGGGCTTCGGGGAGCTTCCGTGAAGGCGACTTGATTTTTAGGGAAACTTAACATCAAGTATATGCTCGCCCTTGGTGCTGCAATGGAAAAACGCCGCTCAGGTCACAACCAGCAGTAGCACCGCTGGAATCTCAGCACAACACCACTATCAAATGGGCCAGCGCAATGTTGTACAGCAGCAATGCATAGCACTGATTTTGTACATTCCAATGGCAAGGAATTTCTTTAACGGTTCTTGCAAATGGCTTCAGGTGACTACAAGCACTACGACAAGCACATCAGCACGGGACTTGAGCCCTGCTTGAATTCTTGT